AACCTAGATGATTCTATGATTCTATGATTCTATTCTATGATCTGCATGGCCAAGGCCCCTTGGGCGCATGGGGCAGGGAACCCCACTCCTGACCTTACCCGAGCTGACTTTTCTCCCGCCTGAGGATGTAAAACAGCCATCACACTGTCTTAACTGAGCAGCTGGTGGGTCTGAGTTTATCTTCAGAAAGATGGAGAGCGTATATGGCATAGAGGAGAATACCAAATACTGCCTTAATGACCTGATGATAGCTCATTCAAACTCACTGTTGCCGCCAGATAGATTTTTTCCCTGCCTTTTTTGTTTGATGTTTCATTACTTCCTATATTACTGAGGGTATTTGCCTGTGATGTGGAGGTTTTTTCTGCTTTGCAGCTCACCTGCTCCTGCTGATTATATTTCTCCATACTGCATTACATCCCAATCATTTGCTTTGGAGGTGACAGTGGTGTCACAATAAAACAGTTGTAAGAAAAAGTGGCAGGAGCAGATGAAAGATGTTCTCTTGGCAAAGAACAAAAATTAAGGTTTTGTGACAATGTCACTTATCAGAAGAGAAATAAAGAGGAAAATGGACCATCCAGGAACAGGAGCAGGACTGTTGGAGGCTTTCTACTCGTTCAGGGTTCCATCTAATCCAGGGTGAAATCTGGTTCCCACTTAAACCAGCTGTCAATTTAATGCTGATATTAGTAGGGGTAGGATTTCACATCTGCTATTTATTGTGGAACAAGGAATCAGAAATCATGGCAGGCACTGACACACATCATGACCTTAGGCAGATCAGTTCCCCTCTCTCTGCTTCAGCTTCTCCATCTATAAAATGGGGGAAAATCTTTATCTCATGATGTTTCTATTACGTTTCCTGAGATTCTTCAAAGTTCCATACTGAGTCAGAGTTGTCCTTAGTGTCAGCTGGGGGTTCAGGAAGATAGTTAGAGTTTGGCTTGAGCATTAGTTTGCATATGAAGAACATAACCTTTACTTTGGTTTCTTTAGGGGCGAGATGCCCCAGTTGTCCCTTAATTAAATCAGTCAGGTCCATGGCAGTTTAACCTTTCCAGTGCAGAAAGAAACAAACCTCACATAAAAAGAATGGCTTGTGTGATCTCAGGAAGAATGCGAAGAGGGGGAGGAAGGGGTGGAATTTCCTTTTTCTTTCTCATTTTAGAAATGTGAAACCTTCTTTACTAACCCATCCTGTTCCACAAGCAATAGTGATATTAACGCCCATTCAAGCATACACCTTGCCTCTGCCCTCCTCTGCGTAGGTGGCGATCGTTGTGACCGATGGACGTCCCCAGGATGGAGTGCAGGATGTGTCAGCAAGGGCCAGAGCAGCTGGCATTGAGATCTTCGCCATCGGCGTTGGCCGGGTGGACATGCACACGCTGCGGCAAATTGCTAGCGAGCCCCTGGATGATCATGTGGACTATGTGGAGAGCTACAGCGTTATAGAGAAGCTGACCCACAAGTTTCAAGAAGCTTTCTGTGGTAAGTCCTTGCCACAACCCTGGGTTCCTAGCCAAGTGGTACAAGTGGCTGTCAGCAAGCTTTTCACGTGGAAGTTGTATGTGATCAGCCTTCATCCATCTGCTTCCTTGTTCCAAGGACTTGGGCCTGCCGGAGCACAAAGCAGTATGGAAGACAGATGCTCTTTGAAGTTGCCTTTCAAGAATTTCAAGTTTTGTTTAGGGAACTTCAGGTTTTAGTTAGAGAAATCTCCAGACTTCATTGGCACAGAAAAGTTTGTAAACAAGACCCATGTACCTTTGAGGCATTGAAAAAGAACCTGGAAAACATGATCTTTATATAGCAAAAATGATTGTCCTTATGTTTAAGCCTCTCTGGGCAGTTCTGAGAATCTGGCTTGTAATTTCCCCCATCAGTATTGTCTTCTGAATTCCCAGCTGAGCAAGGGATGCTTTCACTTCCCTGCTAAAGGCTGAATCGCCTTTGCCTGACTATGCTGTTGTTTTTGCAAGCCTTGTGAGGCAGGAAACTCTCCTGGCTGGTGCAGTACCTGATGCCTTTTTGCATAGCATATAAAAAGAGCCTGACTATCCTACAAACACATATTCACTCCTACGTGAACCGGTGAATGGAGTGAGAAAGCTTTATTACTTTCAAATGTACCCACAAGACTGTAGGAGGTGGTCTATAAATATCCATTTTATATGTCAGCAAGAAAGGCCTGGGGGTTTCGCACGCACATCCTGCCGAAGCACAGACGTGTGGCAACACTTTTTAGAAGGTGCGATACACCACGGTGCCTATGGCAAGGTATTGCAAACACATACACGCAGATGGACCTGTAAAACTCTCCGAAACCAATTTCTTCAGGAGGTGTAAAATTTCATGACTCAACTTCCAGGCTGAAAATGATGGGGGTGAGCAGCTTTTCGTCAAGGAAAATTTCTTCCTTTGTAGGAAGGAGGAAAATTTTGAATATAAAGTGAGTCATGTATTGTAATCAGGTGTCACTGCACCAGAAGCTCATGAGAGAGGGGAACAAATACTACATACCAAAGGGGGGATAGAGAGAAAATTTGAGAAGGCGGAATCCAGGCCATGAATATTTGTGGGAGTTTGTGTTGGCTGCCCTGGAGTCAGGAGTCAGCCAGAGACAGAGAGGCTTGACAACATGTTCTGAAGTTCTGGCATTGCTGTCATTCAAAAAGATAAAGAGAAAAAAAATCCTTTCTGTGCCTTGCTTTTAAAATTTGTAACATACAGATGACAAAGTTCTCCCCATGGTAAAAACCCTCAGAGATGCATCTGAGGGAAGCGCTGTGCTCAGGATTATTATAGCTAACAGAGAATAGCACCACATTAACTGCCAAATGGGCTGTTATCGTGCTATGCAAGCAGCTGCACAAACCGTCCTTGGAGATGTACCCAAACACCACCTGCTATTGCAAAGCACGGTTTGTGGGTACTGACAGCAGGAAGAACTGCGCAGCACTGTCCAAGCTCTTTCCCATAATGCTCAACAAACACACAGGAAAAAGGGAGACCCTTGGTGATCCAGCCACTAGTTAGACTAAAAAGAGCTCTGTAGGCTTCAGAGAACTCAGCCTGAGAGCCCAGCATTACAGCCATCTGCATGGTTAGTAATATTCCTAATTATACGAGCTACATATCTGCTGGAAAGACCTACCAGTGCTGGCACAATATGCATAGATTTGCATTGGGAAGGCCAGAAGAAGTACAAAACACATGCAGAGCAGAACACCAATAACTTGAAATAACAAATAGAAGCCCCTTAACTTTGAAAGACTTTGTGTCACCTCCCATCATTATGACAGAACCAGAAATGCTCACTTTTCTGCACAGATTTCTGTGGTATTTGTAAATGAATTGCTTCAACCAGATCTGTTTACTTTTCAGTTTGTTTTCCATCATCATTGCTGTAGCTGTGACAGTGCTGTCAGTCACTGAATGCTGCTGGCTCAGGCTGCTGCAATTCAGCTTCTGTTTGCTCAGCATCTCAGGAGTCAGATCCAGGTTAAGATCAGCAGGCAGAAATGTTTGTAGAGAGCAAGTCTGGAAGCTGCACGTGTGAGGGTAGCTCTGAAGTGAATTCCAAGTACGTTTGGACATGAATCCCATCCAGGAAAGAAAACTGTACGTGGGGCTGAACTCACTAATCATAATAGCTGGAAAAAATGGGTATTGGCCAGCCCAGATGGTAGGTTGGAAACCAAATCTCAACCAGTAGCTTTGGAGAGTGAAGTATATTGTGATATGCTCAACAGACAGATGGTTTTTGCCCTCAGTACGGAGACTATTTCTAGTCCTGGCTGTGCATTAGAGTCAGGAGACTCATGAAAATTTCTCCTTGCCTCTTGTATCTCAGTCACTATCCAAGAGTAATGACCTCTGCTGCCTTATCTTGCTTGTTATCACTGAGTGTATGGGACAAATATCATGTGGATGGGCCGAGCAGGCTCTGGGTTGAGAAGCCTTGGCATGGTCTCCGATTTTAATCTGCACCTTTACTTGCAGTGGTGTCAGACCTGTGTGCCACTGGAGACCATGACTGTGAGCAGATCTGTATCAGCATCCCAGGAGCGTACAAGTGTGCTTGTAAAGAGGGTTTCACGCTGAACAACGATGGGAAGACCTGCAGTGGTATGTAATGATTTTCATTTGCACTGAGCCGAAATGTGATCTGCAGTGGTACAGTGGGGATAGGATTGAGACAGGATAGACATGTTCTGTTCAGAAAAGGCAGAAAAGGAAACCATGCACTTATAACCAAGAATTATACTGAAAACATTAGTGTGAACTGTTGTTGAGTTTTGATTGATTAAACCTATTTCATTAGTGATAAAATGACACTAGGGTTATATTTTCCTCCATAATTAATTGGGGTCTTAGTTGCTGTCTTCTTTTGCCCTCTTCTCATATTTTGCTTCAGCTTGCAGTGGTGGGTCAGGATCTGCTCTGGATCTTGTTTTCCTGATTGATGGCTCCAAGAGTGTGCGGCCTGAGAACTTTGAGCTGGTGAAGAAATTCATCAACCAAATTGTAGACTCGCTGGAGGTCTCAGACAAACAGGCCCAAGTTGGCCTGGTTCAGTACTCCAGTTCTGTCAGACAGGAGTTCCCACTGGGGCAGTTCAAGAACAAGCAGGACATCAAAGCAGCAGTCAAGAAAATGGCCTACATGGAGAAAGGAACAATGACAGGCCAGGCTCTGAAGTACCTCATTGACAGTTCCTTTTCCGTCATCAATGGAGCTAGGCCTGGAGTCCCCAAGGTGGGCATAGTCTTCACTGATGGACGGTCACAAGATTACATCACTGATGCTGCTAAGAAAGCCAAAGACTTAGGTAGGTCTCCTGAATTCTCAGTGTCTTGTTTCTCCCTTGGACCAGGTACTGCATCTAGTATTAACCTAGGTATGACTCTTTCCCGGGAGATGTCTCTTACTTAGGAAACAGAAACAGGTTACTATAGAATGACTTTGTCAAGATGTTGCCTGACTATCCGTGCACACTCATAAAGACCTTGGAGCAACTTTGGCTGGGGTTCAGATGAACCTTGGTTTGCCAGCAGCCGGTTTTTTGTTCCCACAGCCCCTCTGTGTCTTTGATCTAAGTCTGCTGGAGGTCTCCTGCTGGGCAGGATGGAGTTTCACACGTTTGGTACGGGATGCGTGCTGGTCTAGCATGCTTCACACAAATGTGAAGGAAACTGCAGGGAGAAGCTGAGGATTTGTCTGATGCTGGTAATGAAAGTCAGGTCAGCATCCGTGGCGCTCACAGTGAGGCAAAGATGACCGTCAGAGAGCCCCTTGGAGAGTAACAGGAGTTGTATGGCCAAGTGTGGCTTGGGTGTATCAGCCTTAAGGCCTGGAAAAGAAAAAGAAGGAATAAGACAATAAACAAAGCAGAAACACAGATTAAGGGAGTTGCTGTGAACTCCCTGTCCAAATCCCAGGCACACCCAGACACACTAATAAGAAACTTTCTTCAGCTTCTACTGGAATATTAAAAGTGCACAGTGGCTACATATTTATATTTTTATATGTCTAAACACTGTGAAGTATAAATATCTTGAGATCTGCCCCTTTGCTGACCTGCTATCTCCTGACATCTCTGCGTTAAATGGATGCAGCCCATGTGAATACGCTCATGAATTGCTAAATCCTTTATTTCCTTTCAACTTCGGTCTTGACCACTAGATGGGACTAAGGGCTAGCACATAATAATAAAGGTCAGATAGGAGCTCATGAAAAGCTGATGTTTACAAAGCAAGTTGACGTATTATGTGGATGTTCAGCTCTTATAAAACAAAAGGTCCTTATAAACAGTATCTATAGAATTTATTCCTCTGCGATGATACAACTTTATGCCTTGTTTCTTCCTTCTCTCTTGTCCCTACACAGAAATCTTCAACATCTTCTCATAAGTAATTTCAGTGGGAAAAATAACAAGATGCTTATAACTAGACTCCAAATGTGTTCTTTGAGTTGAACTTTGAAAAAAACAAATATTGGATACATCTAGAGGTAGAAAGACAAGGCAAAAAGGGGAGGAGGGGAAAGCATTGCCAGTGTCTAGACAAGGACAAGTAGAGACAAATACTTTGAAACAGGGGTTAACTAGTATCACCGTCAAGTCAATGGGAAAACTGCAGTTCATTTCAATAGAAACAGGTTTAAGCCAGAGGTAGCCAATCAATCTCTTGGCTTGAAGCATAGTACCTGGACATATTCTTAACTCAAAGTATGGGTTGCTCTTGACAGACCCTGTAAATTGCAATTTTAGAGGTTCAGCTACAATTTTGCTGAACTACAGGTTTCCATTGCACAGGGGACTTTGCCACTACGTAGGCTGATTAATGGTGGCTGCAGGCTATTTTGAAAACTTCCCCTGTTTTCTTTTGCTGTATTATCACTTCCCTATTAGTCGGATGCATGATCCTGTCAAGGTGTAATGATCATCTGTCCTTTCTTGTATCTCCAAAACATTGTTCTTGTGGTGGTACTGGCCATTGTCTGTTCTAGTAAGCCTTTGCGTGCAAAAAATATTTTGGAACCCTGGTTGACCTGATTGAAATAAATCTATAATAATAGAGGGTAAAGGGGTTCATTTCCCAGTTAACATCTGCAGAGCTGTGTGGAGACCGTGGGTCCAGAAAGTGAGCAAGGATGTACAAACTGACAGGGGGTTGGTACCAGAGCAGCAAGATGCTCCGCAGCTCTCCAGCTGACAGGCTCCCCTTGCTTGCAGGCTTTAGGATGTTTGCTGTGGGAGTTGGCAACGCAGTTGAGGATGAGCTGAGGGAAATTGCTTCAGAACCAGTAGCTGAGCACTACTTCTACACGGCTGACTTCAAAACCATCAGCAAGATCGGGAAAAAGCTGCAAATGAAAATCTGCATTGGTAAGAGTTGGGGATTGGGGAGAGAGGGGATTTAGTCACAGAATTTGAAGACTGGAAGCAGAAGGACAAAAAATGTCCCTTCAAATGGATGTTACAAACAGCTCTCTCTTCTCACTGTACTGAGTTTGCAGGGTACTTGGAAGGATCATGAGACTTCAACATTTTGGGTAGTACCTGAATCACAGCCACCCCTACACCTCATCCATCTCCCCCTCTCACAACTGCCTTCTCT